TTGTGGTTTGAGTTCGTTCTTTTGTTTTTTTTTTTTTTTATTTTTTTTCAGCTGGGTGCTGTGAAATACAGAAAAGCTATGGAGTAGGGCCTTGAGGCTAAAAAGGTTGAGAGCCACTGATAGAGAGACTAATCCTTTGCTTGAACAAAGAAGTATTTGATGTCCCCCCCTTTTTTTTTCCAATCATGCAACTGGCATGATATCCTTTGGCAGAGGACTAGAATGTTATGTTTTGAGGGGAAGGCCCAAAGGGGAAGGCACCCTTTCTGGGTGCTGAAAACTTTAATCCAGAAATAATGTTTGCCCCAAGTATCAAAAGTTTGGGAACCATTGACTTAGTGACAGCAGAAGTGGAATGGTAACTTTTTATATGCACTAAAACTGTTTTCACAGATGGTTTAGATCACATATTAAAATACATTTTCATAGAGTGTGATTTAATGAGGCTTTACCAGGGCTTGATCATATTTAGGACTGTATCTCCCTCTTCTCACAAGAGACTAATTACATCCTAAAGTCATGGTTTTTCTCCCTATTTTCAGATCAATAGTGGGACGCAGGTTCTTTTTTATAATAGGAACATTGTACCTGTACCGTTGTATTACCATGTACGTTACCACCCTACCTGTGCCTGGGATGCATTTTCAATGTGCTCCAAAGGTAAGAAACTTTAGCATTGGTTAAAGTGTTAAACCAAAGTCTTTTTAAAGTTAATGTTTTCATCACATGCTGTATAATATTCTTCAAGGAAAAGCGCAGATGTGTATTATTGTAATTATTAGGTCTGTCTCTTTTGTATTTTGAGACATTGTCTGGCAAGATCTGATGAGCAGGGAGCATCTTTCTGTAGTGGATGGTACTAGTAAGCATTACAGAGGGGGCTATAGCAGAAGCGTTCACATCGCAACCTCTGTCAAGTAATACCAGTGAATTCTGCTAACACTCCAAACCACAAGTGGTGGCCAGCAGGATAGAATGATCAAGACCACAGGTGCTAACTTTGTTTTTTGCTGGTGGGTGCTTGCAGATGTAGAAAAAGACTAAAGCAGTGTTGAGCCCTGTGCATGCCCAGAAGAGGCAGCACATTACTTCAGCCTGGCTCTGCAGAGTCTGTAAAGACTGGGTGCTTTAGTGGGGCTTTTTATCTAATAGCTGATTGAATCAGCCTTAGTTAAAAGTGCCAAAATGCCCTGCTGAAGCGCCTGATCTTTACAGATGCTGCAGAGCCAGGTTAAAGAAACACATTTCTGCTTCCAGTCCAGCGTAGTTTTTGGTTTTTGTTTGTTTTTTAACATCTGCAAGTGACTCCATGGGTGTTGAGCACCTGCTAATTTTCTTTTGGTGGGGGGTTGGGTTTTTTTTTTTCTGGTGGGCGCTTCAGCCCCAGAGGTCCCACAGAGTCGGTGCCTGTGATCAAGACAAACTGAAGATGCGAGATACCCACTGTACAATCATCCAGCAGCATACAAAAATCTGAAGTCATGAAGGAGCTTCCTCACAAACCCCCAACCTCTCAATGCCACATCCAAAGAGATAGGACAGATGTGGAACAAGACACTGAAGAAAATACCTGACATCAGAAAACTAGACATTCCAGCAGCCAAGTCCTTCCCACCAGGGGCTGACAAAGGCAAAGGTGGTGATGTCTCAATTACCTACATACTGGAGTCGGATGCTCCAAGGAACTAATGAAGAGATGGGGCTATAACACTGGTTCAGCGACTTGTGACTGCAGCACAGAGCCTCAAATTCTGCAACATCTTCTGCAGTACCTGCTGCTTGAAGATGTGTACAATGAAAGCCCTCACAGAGTACAATAAACTAGCACAAAAGTGTATAACAAAATGGATAAATGTGGTGTTGAGACACAAGAAGAAGCAGTAGCACTACAGAGGATTTAAATTTTTTTTTTCTGGTTTATGTGAGTAAATGTGCATTAGGCTTTCTCCACTCTAAAACAATCATACATTTTAACGTCATATCTTCAGAGAAATTGTTATTATCCAAGACCTGTATACAGTAAAAGCTCTGTTATCTGGCATCCTCTGGGAATGGGAGATGTCAGATAACAAAACATGCCGGTTAATTGAGTGGCCCGAACAGGCATCTTTGCCTGTTCGGGCCGCCGCATCCAGGGCATCGCCGCCCCTCCTGCAGTATCGCTGACCCTCCCGTGGGCTCTGTAGACCCTGTGGGACAGGGAGGCGGGCCCGCACAGCCTGCTATGCCCCAGGGCCATGGGGGCTCAGCAGTGCAGGCTGCTTTCCCCCGGGCTGTGGTGGCTCAGAGAAACCAGAATTGCCACGGTGGGCACTTCCAGTTTCACTTTACAGGCCACCATGTTCTGTTAACTGGCATGCTGGCTTGTAAGGTAATGTACCAGATAACAGAGCTTTTACTGTAATATGTTTTATTGTAATTTTATCAGCCGACACACAAACCAGCTGTTTGCTGGGAGGGCAGGCACGTATGTGTGAGACAATGGTAGAAGGCTGCAAGCATGTTTATCATGCTTGTTGTCTGAGACCATCTGGAGCTTCTAAACTTATTCTGAGAGTCCTGGCCAAAGCAAGTTCATTAAAAAATTGAGCAAGTAGTTGTGGAAATGTGAACGTATTTGTCAACGTCACTATAAAAATAAATGGTAAGGTAAGGAAATGGCATGTCATTGGAGAACTGGCATAAGCTTGTGTTAAGATCAGTTTGGGCTACCAACCTAAGATTCCATAACCATTTTAAGCAGCTCTCTACATGGTTAAGAAATGTTTTAGGATGTTCCCGTGCTTGCAGTGGGATGCTGCAGCATAAATTAATATTTCAAGGTACCTCTCTAAATGTAGAGGTGAGTCAAGTTTATCCTGGTTTTTTTGTGTGTTTATTTCACCTGAGTGAAATAAGGGACAAATTCAGGGATGAATTTATCCATGGAGCATGTGTTAAAGTATATGAATCTAATATATTCTAGAGCCATAGAAAAACTTTGTGGGTTTTTTATAATTTATTTTGGTTTGGATTCTCATAAGTTCATAGCCCCTCTGTGTACCAGACAGTTAATTTTAGTCAATTGTTATGACACTGAGGGTTTGCACAACATTGAGAAAATACAAACCCACCCACAGGTTTTGAAAAGCCTCCCAAACTGTCAGGAAACCTAGTTTTGACTCTGTAAGTAATCCTCTAATTAAGCACATTTTTGACATTGTTGCTCAGCTCTAGCCAAAAACAGCAGGTGACTTGTATATTAAAGAGATCAAAAATAACTGTATTGCATTATCAGAAGCAACACTGAGGGATTTGTGGTATGTCACAAAAGCATGTAATGTGCAAGATCATGCTCCAGTTTTAACATCTGTTTTCTAAATATACTGGACATCATTATGTTCAAGAATATACAGCACAAATCGAAAGCCTTGCTGTTGGGGGTTTTTATGAAGTAGAGCATATTTTGTGTTAGAATACATTTTGCTGATCTTCTTCCAATTTTATCTTGTTCTGTGGAGCCTTGGTTGTTGACAGATTTCTCTAAGGAAACGTGCTAGTCTTGGAGAGTTGCTTTGAAAATACACAAAGAAAATACAGAAGTTTAGTATACAAAATTCTTTCCATTTGAAGCACAAGTTGACTTCAATAAACTTCTTGTCTAGACACATTCATTCTTCATCCTGTATTTTTTTTTTTTTTTTTTTTTTTTCTTTTTTTTTTTTTTAAGG